GGTGGCCCTGCCGAGGTTCCTGCGGAGCGGGCAGCGGCGCCTCAAAGGTGCGGTGGGGCAGGGGAGTCCTCTCTCTCCCCTCTTTCCTCCGACTCCTCTGCATCTGTGAGCTGATCGTGTTGCTGAGGCAGGGCCCATCTCCGAGGTGCGGGTGCTTTGGGAGCTTTTCTGATTTACCCCTGGTGTACAGGGCCCCAGCCCGCGTCCCTCTCGCACCGATTCCACACCTCTGTCACGTTGCTGAGAAGAGGGAAAACTCTGCCGGGTACAGTCGATAGTGTGACCCCCCCCTCCCCCCCCCGCACTTCCCCTTTCTGATGCTGGAGAAAGGGAGCGGTGGGAGGAACTATCCCAGCTCTGGGGAAGGGTCTGGAGCTCAGAGACAGCTGAGCTGCACGGGTGACTGCTGCAATCTAATCATCTCTCCGTCATTTGTTGTCACACGGAGTCATGAGGTACTTACCTGCATGCGGTCAGTCGCTGTTTTTTTTCAGGGCCCTGGCGGGTGTAATATCAGAGAAGAAAAATAGAAGTACCTCGGATAGCAAGAGAAGTAGCCATTCAGGGCCATTAACAATGACCACAGCAATAACATTACCTCAGCAGAATCTGTAGCATCAGCAGAAAAGGAAATGGCTTCAAAAGCAGTGTCACCAGGAGCATCAGCAATTTCAGTGGGGAAAGAGCAACAAAAATAGCAACTCCTACGAGAGATGTATCAGTAAGTGCAGGATCATCTATAAAAGCTAACTCTGTAAGGCAGCAGGTCTGAAAATAGCACCTACTGTAATTGTTTTCTGATTAAAAGGAATCCATTCTTTGGAATCTATTGATTTTAAAAGTTTCTAAGGAAGAAAGATCTGGTTGGCAGGTTTATTGTTGATCAGTTTTTACCTATTTAAAGTGTGTTCTAAGAGACCAACCTGAGTCTGGGAAAGAAGAGATCAGATTTAGTTTTGTGTGAAATCACATAAACAATGTTTGGAATAACTTTTTTTTTTAAGGGAAAGAACTCTGCTTTGGTAAATGTTGTCAGATAATCATAATGTAAATATGTCTCCTCCACTCATTGGCTTCTGTGCAAACTTCAGATGTTCGTATTGGGGTTTTTAAGTCCCTAGAAGTTTAATTGTGCAGGACGCTGAGAGCTGGCATTGAGCACAAGTGTCTCTAAGGAGATGGTAAGTATCACATGAGATGAAACCACAATTTATGCTAGACTTTAAGGATTGCATTCTGTCTACAGCCATGTAGATGCAGCTTTCATTGAACTCGGTAGAGCTGCTATACATTTACTCAAAGTCAAGGTATGTCTTCCAGTTTTGAAAAACAAAACAAAACAATAGAAAACTTTTCTCTACAAACCATATATGCTTTCTTTGAAACAAATACTGTTTCTTTCAGTTATGGAAGACTGCACATAAACAGAGGCTTTCAGACTGTTTAAAAAGTAGTCACCAGGGTTTTTGTTATCTGTCTCAGAAAAACGTGACCTTGAATTCTGCAGGACGGTACAAGAGAGAAATTTGTAGAACTGTTGCTTGGTAGGGCCCTCCCTTCCCCACATCTGAACTAAATTTGTGAAGAGTGAAATACTGTGGGGTTGGTTATTGCAAGGTTGTGAGATCGTCAAAACTGCATGCAAGGTAACCCCACTGGTTGGTCTATACAATGGGCACACCAAAGAGCACACTGTGATCCCCACAGCATAAGCTGCTGTAACCCTTATTTTGAATATGGAAAAAGAAAATTATTTTAAAAGAAAATGTATTGAAACAGTGCATTTTTTAAAAAGGAGCAGGAGGCTCCATAACTGAAAATATCACAATTAGACTAAGTAAGTACACCAGTTAAATTTTATGCTGCCATTCATGATAGAGTTATTTAAATGACTTATTACTGGGTTTTCCTTTGGCTCACTAGGTGGCAGTGTTTTGTTGCTTACACTGAAGTTGTTCAGGTCAATTCTAGATGCTGCTAGAATTTCTGTTTCCTCTGAAAATCTGATTTAGACTTTATCCTGAAGCTGACTGTTTTAGTGACATCAAGTCTAGCTCAGCTTTGATTAATAAGTTTTCTGTGCTGTCTTATCAGTGAATGGCTTTATGCTGTTTGCTCATGTGAAATTATTGACGTTTTATAAGAGTCATTTCTGAAAGTTGGGTGACACTCGTGGCTTCCATTTGTACCAGGAAGCTTTTATTTGGTACATGCTTATAGGAAGTTACTAAGATTGCTGAAATATCTGTTAGTATCTTCAGATAATACAGTAGTCAGAAAAGTCTTTAGGCTTTGTTTAATACAGTGATTTTTGGTAAGCTGAATATTACTGAACACAGGTATAGTTGAGAAAACAATAATTTCTTTTGACCAGACCAAAATGATCATGAAAGTAAAATTTCATATTGGACTTTAACATGAACTGAGTGAAATGTGAACATGAATATGTTCCAGCTGAAATTCTTGTTACACTTGAGTACTAGAAAGGGTAGGTGAGAGAATAAAGTCCAAAATATAGAATTAATATGGTACTATGACCGTTTTATTTATGGAGTGAAGTGGCTAGGTATCCATGGATTCATAAATCAACAACGGCTTGATTCCATGAGGTATTAAAAACCTTTTTTACTTTGAAATTATCCCAGTTGGAAATACATTCAACATTGAACAATACAGTTACCTGGTATTTTTAAACAGTATTTTTATGATGTTTGAAAGCTTATTGAAAACTAACACAGCATTCAAACAGGAACCATTTTATAATGGTCCTGCAGGAGGCCTGCATGGATGAACAAGGAGCTCCTGGACAAACTCCAACACAAAAAGGAAGCCTACAGAGGGTGGAAGCAAGGACAGGTAGCCTGGGAGGAATACAGAGAAATTGTCCGAGCAGCCAGGGATCAGGTTAGGAAAGCTAAAGCCCTGATAGAATTAAATCTGGCCAGGGACGTCAAGGGCAACAAGAAAAGATTCTATAGGTACATCGGGGATAAAAGGAAGACTAGGGAAAATGTGGGCCCTCTACGTAACGAAATGGGAGACCTGGTTACCCAGGACACAGAGAAGATGGAGGTACTCAATGACTTTTTTGCCTCGGTCTTCACCGGCAAGTGCTCGAGCCTCACTGCCCAAGCCGCAGAAGGCAA